CGCCGCCTTAAATACCGCCCGTCCGGTACCGCCCCGCGGGGCTCCCCGCCGACACGGCCGCGCCCGCTGGGGCTGCGGGGCTGCCGCTCCGCCCCGGGACCGGCACCGGGACCACCCTGCCCGACACCCTCCTCTCCACAGCCCTCTGCCTTCCCCGTTCCCATCCGCACCCCGGGGGCGCATCCCTTCCGAGGACGCCCAGGGAGGGCATAGAGTGGGCAGGGGTGGCCTGCGGGGAGCCCCATCCCCTTGGAGCAGCGCCGGGGAGGGCCGGGGGTGGGGGGCAAAAAGAACCCCGTGCCTTTGGTGGAGCCCCAGGGAAAGCTATGGAGATCTCGAGGGAGCCCTGGAGCGGTCCGCGTCCCACCGGAGAGGCCAACCCTGCAGGGCCCAGGGGCTCCTGACTGCTTAGGGAGGGCCAAAGGGTGCCCCCAAAGGGTCCCCATCCCCTCGTAGCAATACTTGGGGCTTGTCCAGCCCGCAGAGCTGGGAGGCCCTTGGGGAGGGTATCTCAGACCCAGCGGACCTGTCATGGGAGAGATGGTGTTGCAAGCCCCTGTGCTTGCTCCTCCGGGTCTGTGCATGAACGATTTGGGGGTTTGAGCTGAATCCTCATCCGTTTGGTCAAGGTTCATGGGTGCTTGGGGCAGCTTGAGCCAGCATGGGCTGGGGCAGTCGGGCTTTGCCTGCCCCATGGAGCCCTGCCACCGAGAGGGCTGGCAGGGCCTTGGGACGTTCCCAGGCAGGGCCCGAGTGTCTGTGCTGCTCCTGGCAGACATTTGCCTGAGCTGTTCCTCCCAGGCACACCCAGTGCTGAACTCCAGAGATCACCCAGCACCTCCCTGGCACCCCGCAGCCGGATACGCTCCCGACTCTTGGCCCGGGGAGCAGAGAGCAGGGACCTCCCTTCCTTTTTGCAGGACCGTTTGCAGCAGTAAGTATCACAGCGGCATCCCATATCCGTGCCCACATCCCATATCCGTGCCCACAACCCATATCCGTGCCCACGTCCCCTCTCTGTGACCGTGTCCCCTCTCTGTGCCTACTTCTCCAGTCCCAGTTTTGCAGTGGCTCCCGGAGGATGACTCCGGGCTGATGCAGACCTGCCCAAACCCAGCTCCTCAGTGACATCTTGTGCCTGGGGATGCTCAGCACAGGCAGCATCGGCCAGGCAGGAGAGGAGCAGGCAGCAGCAGCAGGTCTGCGAGGTTTGCTGGGGTGGGAAACCACATCCTGAGTGGGGTGGAGAGGAAGAGCCCGAAGCTTTGAGAAGGCTCCAGCAGCTGCGATGCAAAACTTTTCCAAAGCAACTCCCAGCCAAGCAAACTGTAACCACTGTAAAAGTCTGGCCCTGTCCGAGTGAGGTACAGCTTCCACAGGGCCAGTGGTACAGGAAAAATTAATTACAGCAAATGTTTTTTCCTCCACACCCCAGCACTGGCATTGCTGTAGTTAGCAGTGAAATCACAGAAGTTCCTTGAGCTCGTTTGCAAGGTTTCCTTTTGGGACATCCCACCCTTCCATGGTGAGAGCCAGACAGTGGCATTGCCCCCTACCCGAGCTGGGTAAAAAGTCAGCTATGAAAAAGTATCAATTTCCTTCAAAATATTTCCTGTGCTGCATTAACTCTTTCGTGTATTTAGAGCAAAATAATTCACCTGAAGTTCCTTGCCGCGATGAGGTTGCGCACGTGAAATCTCAGGTTGCAGTTCAAACTCCTGTTGAAGAAAAAAAAGCCAACGTTATACTGAGCTGCATTAAAGCCTGAGGAGCAGATGCCACTGCTGCAATTAAAAAAAATCTTAATCAGCTATAACTTTTGCTCCTTTTTTAGCCTGAGTGGTGCCAGGCCAAGCCGTGACTCCCTGTTAACCAACAGCCACAGCCAGAAACCCCTGCCATGGCAGGGACCTTGTTTCTCAGCCAGGTGCCACAGAGAAAATTCCCTTGAAAGGCTCTAATGGCATCAGTCACCTCTGGGAAATACTTGCCTCATCTCAGCAGGGAAAGTTTCTGAGCGTTGCCCGTTGTGCCGGCAGACCTGGCAGCCCCGTGGTGTCAGCAGAGCCTCCAGGCTGGGAGGGGGAGTTTGTGGTGCACGCCCAGGTCTGAGTTTCCAGAGAAACCTTAGTCTCAGATCTGAATGCAGAAATGAAATGTAAAAAAGCCACATTTTGGTGGAAGCAAAATCTGATGGTGTTTATCTCGGATGGCTGCTCCTGAAGCAAAGGGGATCCCTGAGCTGGCAGCCCTGCTGATGGCTGCAAAACCAGTAAGGGATGCTCCAGGCTGCTGTGGGGACTGCGCCAAGCCCCTGTGGTCACTGGAGCATGGCCTTGCAGAGCACTGATCCCCAGCTCCTGATACCCCTCAGCTGTGACTTTATGCCCTTCAGACCACTGTCCCCATACCCCACCATGTCCAGGCAGATGCTGCTGGCACAGGGGAGGACGGTGCAGGCTCAAGGTCTGCTCTTACTGGCACGGTGGCTGCAAATGGTCCCTGCGTGGCGTGGGGAGCCCGGTCCAGCCCACGTCACAAGTATCCGCATCACGAACACAACCACGCTGCTGTATCCCGCACGGGGAACGTGACCCGGGCCTGACAATGTGCATCCGAGTCCTTCAGCCCGCATGCTCGGCCGCACCAGCGACGGCACTGAGCCGGGGAGAGGCTGTTATTGATGGCTTGAGAAGCCATAAGTCGTAAAGGAACAGATTTGAATGCTAGACAAATAGGCAAGAAGGGGGTTTAGTGTGGGAGGAGATGGCAGTTTGGAAAGGGGGAGGCCACGTCATGCATATTTCATGGACTGGTGCTTGGCAGGGAGGCATTTTTGACTCTGCGGAAGTAACGGATGGCAACAAGTAACAGCAGCCGCTCACGGCACCTGGGAGGGAGAGTTGTGAGGTGAAAATGGCTCCTCCTGCCTTTGGGCAGAAGCGGGCACGGGCACACGACCTGGGGGCTGCTGGGCTGTGCTATATCGCCAAGGCGCAGGGATCAGCCTTCCTCACCATTGTCTTCCTCCAGCCCAGTGCTGGGGTAGGGGCAATCCTGCCCCATCCTAGGGAATGGGGCTTGATCCTCACTGTTGCGTAGCTGTGCCAGCCTTGGAGCCCTGCCTGCTCCAGCAGCCCTTTCCGTGCTGGGCACCCAGTGCTCCCAGCATCCATCCTCCACAGTTTCCCTGGAGAGTGCTGATTCACATCCTCCTCCGTTGGGTATTTCTCATGCTGATCATACACCCGACTCGTGCCCAGCACCAGCACTAGCAAACCGCTTCCACCCCAGCTCAGCATGCTGGGAGGGACATCTACGCCCTGCCAGCAAGCAGGCAGGAGTGTGGGGAACAGTGCGGACTCTCAGCTAGCATTTAGCTTTGCTAAATGTGCCCCTTGGAGCAGGATGTGATGGAGTGGCCAGGAGCTGCAGCCCTTCCTTCCCTAGCATGGGTCAGGGGCAGCTGCCTGCTGTGGACCCACCAGTAAAACAGAGGAGAAGGTGGAAGTTGGACAGTGCTTCCCAGTTGCAATGGTGTGCGGCTCATCATCTGGTTGAGGGTTATTTTTCTTCTTTCATCTCCTGCTGTCGCTCCTGCGACCCTTCAGGGAGAGCCCCAGACCCACTAATAACCACACTGATGGGAATAAAACCCCCTGGGGTAAACAGGAGCTCCCAGCCCTAGGACAAGGTCTATTCAGATGATGAGTTGGTTCTCTCTAACCCCTCCAAGCAGCCCTGTCACCCTCCCTGTCACCCTCCTGGGAGTGGCTCTGCCTTCTGCCCCAGTATGGACCGTTGCAAGCCCTGCTCCATTTTGCTGTGCCATGCTGGCACTGGGGCGGAGGAGCCAGCCCGTCCTCCCGCAGCCGGGAAGCGGGGAACTGCGTCCTTCCCCTTCCTTCTGGTGCAAAAGAGGGCCCTGGAGGTTTAACTGCTGCAGCGAGGGGAGCAGTGAACCCCATCCCAGCACTGCGCAGGCAGTGGGGGGGCCGCAGCACTTGTGTCCTGCCTCTGCGGGACCAGAGTAGGGAGTTTTGGGGACTTGCTGGTGGTCACCCAGGGAATCACAGGGTGGGAGCTCCAGCTCCTGGGGTGTTTCTGTGGGTCAGGAGCCCCAGCGAGAGCAGCTGAGAGCTGCCACAGACCCTGCCGGAGGACAGAGATGCCGGGGGGCTCCTCTTGCAGCTGATCTCCCGGCCATCTCGAACCTTGTTCCCCCAGCACAGTCGGGATTTGAGGAGCTGGGCTGGGCTCTGATCCCTGGCATTTTCCACTTGAATCCCAACAATTTTCAGTGAATCACTTGCAGCCTAAGAAATAAATGTCCTCTTGATTTTCTCTCTGAGTTCCTGCAGGTCTGGTGTGGCTCAGCAGCCATGAGAAAATACCTGGGTGAATTCCTATCTCCATAAAGGTCAAAGCTATAAAAAAGAAGGAGGTTGCCTCTGAATGGGCACCTAGGAAATATCCAAGGCAGGGAAAGGCACATCAGGCTTTTCAAACCAGGTAATTTTTTTTTCTCAGAGGGTCCCTCTGGTTTTCCATCTGTGGGATGAAAAAGTGGGTAGAAGTGGGTCGCGTGAGATGTCCACGAGTGTGCCTGGGGGAAAAGGAAGGTCAGCAAATGCCTGAAACAATTTTGTTGCACTTACAGCTGAGAAAGGATCATGCTGGAAGGTTTCTGTGGAAGTGGGGTCTGGGGAATAGGCATAAAGAGCCTTTTTTCCAAGCTGACTCCCTTGGCAGGTGGGTTGTTTACAGAGCCTGGATGCCAGAGTGCCTGGAAGGGAGCCAGCTCTATTTTAGCCCTTCATAAATGATTTAAACACCT